CGCGCAGCGCCGGCGGAGCGGCGGAGCCGGGCTGCAGAGCCGGGAGAGGCCGCGAGCTGCGCAGGGGAAGCCGAGAAGGGCGCTGGGGACGGGGAGGGGCCCGCAGATGCCAGGAGGCCCGCGGGTGGACAGAATGGACACAGGAGATGCGCCCGGAGCGGGCGGGAGGCAGATGGGCAGGGTGGCCCGGGACTGGGAGGGCGCAGAGGTGCCGCGGGGAGAGGGGCCAGGGGACGTGGCAAAGCCACTCCAGGGGCAGCGGGGCCAGGGCCAGTGGGCTGGTGTGGCCCGACAGGGGCCGCGGTGGAGGGACACGGAGGGACAGAGGGGCTGCCAGGTGCTGGCTGGGAGAGATGGCCGCTCGGGGCAAGGGCACGCGGGAGGGGGGCAGGCAGAGGAGGGAGGAAGTTTGGGGCTGCCCACCCAGGACCCCCAGCCTCCTCAGCGCACCCAGCCTTTCCTGCCCCCTCCAGGGTCCCATAAGCGTGCACAGCCCCGCAGTGCCTATTTGCAACCCATCTCTATCCTAGTCTCCATTCGGGGGACTGGATGCTCCTAGAGAGAAGCTTCTGGAACTCCCTGAGGTCGCTATGTATGGTCTTAGGCCCCCGCATAGTCTCTGTGCCGACCACTGGGTCCCCCAGCTCTCCCTGTGGGCCCCACGTCATCAGCCGTAAGTCCCCACTACAGCGATCACAGGTCTGTGTCCAGCCCGCCGGAGCCCCCAGGGTCTGCGCTCTCCTAGTCCTCCAGGGCTCCCCTGTTTTGGATGTCCAGAAGTGCCCGGCAGCCCCCATTTAATCTCGGAGTCCCCATAAACCGCACCCACAGCCTTTAGTCTCTTCGTTCCAGAAGCCTTTGCCGGATGCCCAGCTGGAGCCCGCCTCTGCTGCAAGGGCCCAGGTCCAGCCCCGCCCGGCGGAGGCCCCCTCCCTGGGAGGCGATCCGATCAGCAGGCCGAGTGGGGGGTCAGGTAGTGGGGGCCGGGGCTAACGAGGAGACCGTCGCCGGTTTCCTGGGTGGGCGTGACTGTAGAGGGTCCAGGAGACGCCACCCACCAGACCAGAGGCCATCGATGGAGGTGCTGGTCCGAGCATGTGGCTACAGTGCAGAGAGCCCTCGGACAGAGGCAGCAGGCTGTACAGAGGCTGGCAGGAGCAGGGCCAGCGCCTGTGGGGCACTGAAGGGGCCGGGGAGGCTGCACGGGGCGAGGCCGGGGGAGCGGGGAGGCGCCTGCTCCGACGCCGGCCGTCCGGCCTGGCTCGCGCCTGGTACCTGCGGCCGCTGTCTGGCTGTGCCTTCGGCCCCCGTGTCTCCGTGTGGACAGGTTCGAGCACTGCGGCTTGCGTGGCCGTCGTGGCAGAGGCCGAGCCGGTTAGAGGGTGCATGGCCGGTTTTGCCCCTGGCACCGTCACGCCTGCTGTGCTCAGGTCCCGGCACGTTCCCCGGGCCCAGGGCCCCGGCCACGCTGGCTGGGGCCGCACGGTCCACCCCACTCAGATGCGTTTCTGGCTGCAGCTTCTGCTGTCACACAAACACAGCCCTGCACATGGGGCCAGCCCTAGGGGCTGGGCGCTGCGGGGTCTGGACACCCCGGCCCTGTGGCTGCGAAGCGGTGGTGTGGCTGAGTGGGGGAGGGGCAGGCTATTCACACCTGGACTTTTGGCCCCGCACCCTGGCGGTGTCCAGGGTCAGCTGTGCTATCTGTTACGGGTGTGGCGTGGACTCACATGCGGCTGGGGCGGACGTGACCTGGTGTGCAGCGTGCAGGGACGGGTCCACATTCCCAGGCCTGTGTGTGACCTCACGCGGCTGTGGCCGAAGGGGCTGGGGTGAGGAGACACCGCCCGTAGCCCTCACACCCGAAAGGCAACCCCAGGGTCTCTGTGGAGGCAGGGAGCGGGGTCCTTGTGAGAGGCGGGGAGACAAAAGCAGACTGGCCACGGCCTGACCGAGTGAGTGGTGAGTGGTGGGGTGTGGGCCCCTCTGGGGACTGGAGAAGGCAGAGATGGGGCCCGCCCTGGGGCCCCCAGCATCACAGCCCTGGTGACACTTTCTTTTTAGCTCCCACAGCCCACGTTGGGCTCCAGCGTCACAGCGGTGCGAATAAACCTGTTGTAAGCTACCACCGGCGCGTCGCTTGCTAAGGGCAGCAACAGGCAGTACAAGAAGGCAACCCGGGCGGCACCCGGCCACCCCATCTTGGCCCTCTGTGCACCGCCTGCCTGGCCTAGGCCGAATGGGGGGGTGCGGGGTGGGGGCTGGTGGTGAAGACTGGGATGGGGGCTCAGGCCGCTGGTGGGCAGGGCCAGCGGCCTCCAGCTAGGGGTGCGGGCAGCTGATGGCCCCAGCGAGGGACCGGGCACAGGCACTGGAGGCGGCGGGCTTGAGGCGGCACCCGCGCGTAGTGCTCCGGGGGTGGGCGCCTGCGAGCCAGGGCCAGACCCCAGAAACGCACGGGTGTGCGCGCGACGTGGGCGGGGCCTAGCGGGGAGCGGCCGGCGCACCCGACGGGCGGGGTCCGGGAGGGGCGGGGCTTGGCGGGGCGGGGGCGGAGCCCCAGGCGGCTTGGGCGGGGCCGAGCTCGGAACCACGAGGCGGGGTGGACAGGCCTGGATGATGGATGTCGGTGGCATCCAACCGAGGAGGGGCCAGGCCCGGGAGGGGCGTGGCCTCCACGCGGGGGTGGGGCCCTCCAGGGGCGGGCCGTCGGGGCGGGGCTCAGGGAGCAAGGGCCTGGGCGGAGCTCCCCAGTGAGGCGAGGCCGAGCGCCGCGTCGGGCAGGGCGGGAAGGGATTAAGTGGAGGACCAGCGCCCTGAGGCGGGGGAGGGGCGCCGGGAGCTTCCGGGAGAGGCCTGCGCATTTCCGGGCAAGATGGCGGCGCCCAGTAGAGTCAGGTGCGGGCGACTCTGTCTTTACTAGCGGCGGCGACTCGAGGCCCTCGGAGGTGAGATCCGTCGCGCTCTGGCTGCCGCCTTCGGAGAGGAGGAGGACACTTGTTCTCGAGGAGAACAAGGGGCGGGCTCGTTGCTGTGGAGGCGGGCGGTGGCGTTGCTAAGAGACGGCAACGCAAGCAGCTGCGGGGAGGGGGTTTGCTCGGTTGCTAGGGAGAGTGGGTGGGGCCTGTTGCGGGGGGAGGGGCTCTCGGCGGGGGACGGGACCCGTCGGACCCCCGGGCGCGGAGGGGCTGCGCCGGGGCGGGGCGGGCCGCGCGGCTCGGGGTCATGGGGGGCGCCGGGGTCGAGCCGAACCGCAGCACACGCTCCCGCAGACCGCTGCAGCCGGCCGCTCGGGACGCCAGAGCCCCCTCTGCGGCGGCCACCGTCCACTCCCAATCGCCCTTCCCTGCTTCGCGAACCACCCATGGCGGACAAAGGCCCGGGGGGCAGCCGCCTGCCCCTGGCGCTGCCCGCAGCCCCCCAGGGCTCCTCGTCTGGCGGCGGCGGCGCCTCCACCGGGGGCTCCGGCCACCCCCCGCCCCCGCGCAACCTCCAAGGCCTGCTGCAGATGGCCATCACCGCGGGCTCTGAGGAACCAGACCCCCCTCCGGAACCCATGAGCGAGGAGGTGAGCGCGGGCCGCCAGCTGCGGCGAGGCCGCGGGGCAGAGGTGGCTGGGAAGGGGCCGTGGCCGCTGCAGCTGGGGCTTGCGGGTGCGGCAGAGGGCCGACTCCATGGGGAGGCTTCCAGGCTGTGTTGTGCGAGAGGGGGTGCAGGTCACGTCCCGCAGGCTCCAGCGCTGTGGCAGGAAGGGCGAGGACCTCGCAGGCCAGGACACACCTGGCTCCAGCCGCCTCCTGGCTGTGTGACCTTGGGTGGCCACGCACCACACCGCTCTGGGCTGCAAGCTAGTCCTTAGCGAGAGGACCACGGCTGCTCTCCGCAGAGTACCCTGGGTCCCAGCCCCACCCAGCCTCCACGCACCCTCTGGGCCCGCTGCTCAGGTGGCTTCAGGCTGTCCTGGCCCGTGACCTTGGCCGAGGCCCCTCGGGCTCGCTGCGAGCTTAGCAGCACACAGCACTATCTGATGTCGAGTTTGTGGCCAAGACCACGCAGCCGCTGAGGGGAGCCAGGCCCAGAGCCGCGCCCTGCCCACATTTACCAGCCCAGTGGCGTCAGGGCCTCCGTCTGAGCGCTTTGCTCGGGGCCGGGCACACAGGAAAGCCTCCACGCGCCTCTGGTGTGACCTGATGTGGTGTCACCGCACCTCCTGGGCCTCGAGAATGGCAGCCTCCTGGTTTTCACCCGACTCTGCCCTGTCAGTGACAGCCGGTGCGAGGCGCTGCGGGCGCCTGGGGGGCGCAGAGCAGTGACGCTGCCCAGCAGCCC